AGTGGCCACTGCACTCCAGTCTGGGCAACAGACTGAGACTCCAACTCAAAAAAAAAAAAAGCTTCCCCAAAGTGGCAGCAGAGTAGAGAATCACACCCAGGGCTGGGACAGCTTTGTCCATGTTCCTACTTACCACCATGCCCTCCTGTGGCCTTCATTTCACCTGGTACTTTGGAGTCAGGGTATTTCAGTGCTAAGGCCAGAAGGCAATTTTAGATCAATACTTTCACACATTAAAAAAGTTTTAAATTTATTTTTTTGAGTAAGGGTCTCACTCTGTCGCCCAGGTCAGGGTGCAGTGGCATGATCACTGCTCACCACAGCCTCTGTCTTCTTGGCTAAGGTGATCCTTCCACCTCAACCTCCCAAGTAGCTGGAACTACAGGTGTGTGCCACCATGCCTGGCTAATTTTTGGAATTTCGTAGAGATGAGATCTTGCTATGTTGCCCAGGCTGGTGTCGAACTCCTGGGCTCAAGCAATCTTCCCACCTCAGCCTCCCAAAGTGCTGAAATTAAAGGCATGAGCCACTGCACCTGGCTTCAAACTTTTTTTTTTTTGAGTCAGAGTTTCACTCTGTTGCCCAGGCTGGAGTGTAGTGGCACGCCCACGGCCACTGCAGCCTTGACCTGCTGGGCTCAGGCGATTATTCTTCCACCTCAGGCTTCCAAGTAGCTAGAACCACAGGCATACACCACCAAACCCAGCTCATATTTCTTTTCTTTTTTTTTTTTTTTTTTGAGTTGGAGTCTCACTCAGTCGCCTAGACCGGAGTGCAGTGGCCGCTCCCGGCCACCGCAGCCTCGCCTGCTGGGCTCCAGCGATCCTTCCGCCTCAGCCTTCCGAGTAGCTGGAATTATAGGCATGCGCTACCACGCCTGGTTGATTTTCTTATTTATTGTAGAGATGAAGTCTCGCTGCCCAGGCGGGTCTGAAACCCACGGGCTCAGGCAATCCACTCACCTCAGCCTCCCAAGGGCACGGGATTACAGGCTGAGCCACCGAGCCCGGCCATATTTCTTGATTTATTGTAGAGCTGAGATCTTGCCAAGTTGCTGCCCAGAAGGGTCTCAAACCCGTGGGCTCAGGCAATCCACTCCCCTCAGCCTCCCAAAGGCAAAAATTTTTAAAAGCCTGCAGACTGGCTTGGAATGACATCCGTGCAAGTCCCAGGTGAAAGTTGAAAATGGCGAATTTGCTTGAAAGGGGTCTGTGGGGGCCCCAATCTGCCACCTTCTTGGGATATGTATGCCTCAGGATCTGGAACTCCCCAACATGGCCCCCTGCACTTTCAGGTGGACAGTGCCAGACTCCAGGCAAGGCCTGGCCTGCAGAGACACACAAAGAGGAGACCATGATCCTGGGGACTTATGGTTCCTCCAGAATTGGCTCTGGCCTGGTGCTGGGGAGGCCAGGGGCTGCCGAAGGGTGCAGGCGCCGGGGCTGGTGTGCAGAGCCAGAACCCTGAAACATACCGAACAGGCCACATTATTCCCTTTCCCTGTTCTGCCCCCCTCTGCCCTTCACGCTCCACATTCCAGCTGTAAGCAATGCCATCTTGTCTGCTTTCAGAAGAAACCCCAAATCTGACCCTTATGCCCTCCCCCAGCGCTGGGTACTGCCCCAGCTCAGCTGCCATCATCTCTCACCTGGACAAACTGTGGCATGCCCTTCTTGCACTCCCCACCTCAGCCCTCGCCCCTGCCATCTGCTCCCCACTCAGCTGCCAGGGATTCACCTGTTCCCACTCAAGGTAGCCCAGATCCCTCTGCTTGGGTCCCCTCACCCCCAGGCTCCTGCCACACTCAGAAAAAGCCGCAGTGATCACCATGGTTACGGCCTCTGAAGGAACCCCCTACCTCACTGACCTCCCCTGATCCCATTCTCCCCACCAC